GTTTTGCAGTCCGGGTAGGAGCGAGAGCTGGGAGGTCTGGAAGAGGGTGGTGGAATGGTCAAGGCTGAACCCTGAGGGGGGCCCTTCAGGGGGCTGGAGGAGAATGAAGAACAGAAGGAGGAGATGGAGAAAGGGTCTGAGGAGGAAGCTGGGGGAGGGGATCCCACATTTGACAGGGTGGTATCCAGCGTCAGGTGCCACAGAGCAGAGGCGAGGACAGGGGGGCGAGTACAAAGCCCCCTGTGGCGTCTGGATAGCCATCCCGAGGGCCACACAGCATCCTGAGGCTGCAGGAGCTGGGGGGTGGGAGCAAGGGCTGCGAGGCTGCGGGCTTCCCCTGGCCGGGGGGTGACCTGCTAGTCACAGAGAGCCAGCTTCCTAGCATCCTGCAAACTCCAGCTCATGAGCTACAGCTCTTGCAGGCATGGCTGTCACTCAGGGACAGCAGCAGAATTCGGGCCTGGTGTTCTTGCCTTGGGGAAGATGTGGGAGGTTTCAGGGCCTCAGGGTCATTTGCTGCCTCTGTCGCCGGCGTCCTGGGAGGTGCGAGCTGCTGGGAGCTCAGTCTCTCCTCCTGCCCCCGGGACCCCTGGCCTTCAGGGGACAGCCAACACGCCCACCTGGAATACCTGGACCCCTTGATTAGATCCAGATCACCTGCTGGTCTCAGCTCCTGGTCTCGTCCTTGAGACCCCAACTCAGCCTACGCTCCCTGAGTCTCCTCTGATCATCCCTGGGTCCCAGGTGGCAACAGTGGTGGCTCACGCTGGTCTTCACCCCAGCCCTGCCCTCCTTGAGGCTCCATTTACTACAGTCCACCCAGTTCACTCAGTCATGCCCTGTCCTGCTGGGGACACAGTGACCAACTCACAGCCCACTGTCTCCCTGTCACCAATGCGAGCAGAGCCCTGCCTCCCCTCCCCACTGTCACCCCAGTGCCTGGGATATGCCTGGCACCTAATGGGTTCTCAGGAGGTGTCAAATATATGACTGGATGTTTCCTTCCAGTCCTTTCTCTGTGTGCGTCGGGGGTGGGGAGCTGTTGATAGCTAAGATCACGTGTCCCCTTTCTCAGAAACTCCACGCACCTGTACACACATGCCGTTCTATCGCTTTCCCGCCGACTCAAACTCAAGGCTCAGGTCCAGTGT